TCGGCTAAATATCCAAGTTCGTGATCCTCTCGGGTCCCGTACCTTGGTATGTTTGCGCGAACCTCTCTCCAAACACGTTCTATATGTTGCGTATGTGCACCTAAAAATACGTTACACATATATAATATGTAACTTATTATTAATTTTTCACATTACTTACCAGTTTCAGGATCGACGAAATTATAGGAGTGATTCATTGTCAAATGTTGGAAGCCTTCATTGTCTAAGCAATTATAAGACTTCCAACAGTCTGAAATAATGGTGGTGCCTGGCAGAATCCACTCTTTTATACATGCCAGAAGTGTTGTCTCTGTCCGATCCTGAACTGGAGTGATAAAAATCTTCTTCGACTCTCGCTCATATCCTTCGAAGATCCAGAGACCTTTGATCAGGCGACCACGATTATATTTTCTTCGTCCAATTTTTACATCGTCTGTTTCCACCGTACGTCCTGGCCCACCGAGCTTCTCGCTGTTTTTTATTGCCCACAGCACACAGACCTGTAAGATGAAACAAATTTAATATTTTGAACTATTTATATTTTAGTAAGATATATATAATATGTACGTGATGTGTTGTTTCACAATATTCTTACCTCTCGGCAAAAATTAAACCAATCTATAATCGTGGATGCCGAAACGCCAGTTTCATCTACTGTGTCATTTAGACGGGGATGTCTTAACAGCAGGAAACATGCAACAATGTTGCAAACCGTTCCCACGTCTAGATGACTTTTACCAAACCAGGTACTAGCCGTAGCATTGCGGCTGAAATCGTACTGCTTCGACACACGTTTCTTATGTACATTTTTAATATAGTACCGTCTTTTGCATTTGTACATTAACGTTTCTTTATTAATATTAATATTATTCCCACAATTGTTGCACTTGATACTAGATGTTAAAACACCGTGCTGAATTAAAAAATCTATCAGCTTGTCTTTGCATGCAGTCAATCGACCGAATTCTATAAGGCCCGACATTGTTCCCAGTAATGTTATAATAATATTGCACTCCATCTTTTGTTTTTTGATAATTTTCATATTTCGTGCGCTCTATGTAGTAGCGCTGGGTATGCGCATGTAACCATCGAACATGCGCATAAGACCGTGGGGCAGCTACACGTCGCTACATATCGTCGGAGTGACAGATTTCCTAACCTAATGAACTCTTAACTTTCACACTAAATATCTCGCTTCGCGGAAGAGAGCGACGATTTTGTAAGAGGGAAAAATTTTCTTCTTAAAATACGCGTCGATTGAGCCTAGTTTCGTCAAAATCGAAGGTGAGGACTAAACTTAATAATTACTAAAAATATAAGTGTGTAAATAATTATAGATTACACATATGAACATATACATATCAAGCACACATATTTATATGTATCTATATATAAATGCATAAATGTCCTTAATATATTTTAAAATTAGTATGTTTAAAATGTTAATTTGACAGATTTTATACTGTTCTTATTTTGTTACATACGAAATTATAACATAAATCCAATATTATTATAGGTTAATGTTTACTACACGTGAGATTACTAATACTTCTTTTCATTAATTTAATATCAGTAAAAGTGTAACAGATCATTTATTCATATATTGATATATAAGGAAAATGATAAGCGCTAATCATTAGAATAATAATTACGTACTTACCGACTTTTTATTTCTCTTGAGGACAAAGTATCACCTCACGTCGCTATAAAGCTAATCCGATTACTGCTGAGACAGCTTTTACTAAAATCTGATTAAGCTAGGGAATTTTTTGAAATGGGTCGATTGAGTACCACTGTTCAGTCGGATTTCCAATCCGACAACTTATCGTAAACACCCATAGAGTGAGAAAGCACTAGGGGCAAATCAACTTTCTCACTCTGTTTCAAACTGCCAACTTCCGGTTTCACTTTATGGACAGAACGCTTGGTCTATGTATATACGTCATTGACACCAGTGTGCATTCAGCGCATTTCGGAAGATGACTCTTGGGCTGCGTTCCAAAATTCTACTCTCGGTGGGTAGAGTACATTTAATTGACCAATTATGATAAAGAAATCCTAGTTATCTTTGTTCTTATTGATCAATGGCTGCATTCAGTAGACTCAACAGTTGCACAACAGTTGAGTAATTTGTCAATGTAATTGGTCTAGATTTAGGGATCTAATAGCAAGAACCAATAATCGTTGATTGCTCACTGAGCGCTTTTTCTACTGAATGCGCCCAATGAAATGCTACTCTACCCGTCGAGTAGAGTTTTGGAACGCAGCCATGGATGTCGGAGGGAGTGTGAATTCTGCATAACAAATCGTATCCGATTCCGTATCCAAATTGCTATAGATGTCGTTACGGTTTAGCATATCGCAGTATGACTGATCACAACTCCGTATATTTTAGTATATGTTATACAGCCGACCTAGTCTGACCTAGTCGAAGGAGACTAGTCGAAGCGTAAGGTTAATGATAAATACGTATCATTGCAAGTCTTATTGCAGTCGGTCGAAATAGCTCGGTAGTGTCATGTGAATAGTGGAACTTCGTCGATTTGTGTTTCTGTACTGTATGAGTATTATGTCTAAAGTCCAGTGTCCTACGCCCATCATATTTCTTTCTCATCGTGTATTTCGTGTGATGTCAATGTGAGCTATAAAAACAAGAGGAAATTATACGAAAGCGTGTTGCAGTAACATTGGTAAAGCGTATCCAAACGACGTGTTGACTCCTAACTGTATACAGCTTGTATATGTACGTATGCATAGTACATATATTTACTATATATGAATGCATGTATATATAATATTGATGGATGAGTATGTATAGATACGTATGTATATATACTTATGTATAGATATAGAATTAGTTGTTACATTATATGACATGTATCGTGACGTACAAACTGAAGGAACTTCTTTTTAAGATCAATTTAAGTAGAATCTGTTCTATAAATATCGTTTTAGTTAGCAAAGGTTACTAAGTTATAAGGGTATAAAGCAAAAATAAGTATACATTAATTTTATTGAGTGTTATTATTGAAGACTAAAAAGTTCCATTAAATAGCTAGAACATACGTGCACAAAATAAAGCACAAATTAAAGCAATAAAATATAATTACATATGTTCAAGATTATGTTTGTTAGCAGAAACAGTACAGTACAATATAAAGTAAACCAAATCACTATGTAATTAACTTTATGTTTATTTGTTATCTGTTGATAATATAGATAATATATATGACATATATATCTAGATTGAGTGTTTACTGTTATTATGAAGGCAACCCAAGGTAATGATAAAATAATGAGGCAAAGCGCTATCTTTGAGTATATCTTTATCTTTTTTTCTAACACATTAATGTTCAATTTATGTTTTAATTAATTAATATTAAACAATTAGCCAGTTAATTCGTTTTTAGAAAAAACAAACATATTTGTTTGTTATACAATCAGGATAACATCTATATTTATGAGTAATATGCAAACTTATCTTTCTTTATTACAATTGATCTTATTCTAATTTTGATTTCTTTAATGATAAAGGAATTAGATAATCATAAAAGCGGCCAAGTTTCCTATATTCTAGTAATTATTCCGATTAACCTCTTTCTAACAATGTTGACATCGATATATATTATTAAAAACATAATAAATATTATGCAAAAAATTTCGAAGTCGTCCGACTTCATTTGTTTGCCACGATTCCGGGTCATCCAGTGGACTAAAGTAGAAAAATAAGACGTTATTTTAATTAGAAGACTTGTAACTATTGTCTGAACTAGAACATTTTATTTCGGCCTATAAATAAACAAATGGTACTTATTTAAACTGAAAAGTTCGATTTTTGCTTTATTTTTTTTTGCTTCAAGCCTGGAAAGGAAATGTTTAGTTAATAAGTATATGAAACTAGTGAATTGACCTAGCAGTTTTCTTTGAATCGTGGCAATCATCCGAAAAAATGCGTTTTGATAAAATCGCATTTAAAGTTTGCGTTATAATTTAATATCGATAACGATTGAATTAGGCAACTTACTCATCTATTCCGGAGTCATATAAAAAACTTTCCTGAGCCTCGAATAGTGTTTTTCTTGTTGATTTCTCATCTCTGCGCTGTCGTTCTCGCTTGCGTCACCATAGACACTCGAAACTCAGATAGGGCAATTTGATTGTAGTCCCGCGCGGCTGCAAAATTTTGAGCTAAGAGGTCAAATTGAACACCCATGGTTTCCATAATTTTTAAAATATTTTCAAAGCCGCTGTTAAAAGTACATGCAACTAAATATACGACGCTGAATCTAGCAGACAGAGTTGGCAGGCGAACGTCGCGGCCCAGGGGCGAATGATAGAATAGGCCCCCAAGAAAAAAAATGTTTTATAATGCAATTACAGCTTTCAAATTGGGGAAAGACATAACTTTTATATCATTAAATGATTTTTCGCACGATTTTCAAGCAAACAAAGTTATTAAACAATATTTATAAATGTTTATAAGCATTTCTTAAATAATAATAGCAGTAGCTCTCACACGCATTCGATTGGACGTAGGAAAATTGGTTCAAATATTGTTTGGAAGATACTTCGTGCATTGGAGTGTGAACCGCGAGGGAACGCCATTGTTAATAATTTTTTAAAAATATTTACAATTGTTGCATTCTTAAGAATTCAGCAGCTCGAACACGCATTTGATTGAACGTACGAAAATTGGTTCAAATATTGTTTGGAAGATGCTTGGTACATCGGCGTATGAATCGCGAGGGAACGTCATTGTTAAACAATTTTTAAAAAATGTTTAAAACTGTTGCTTACTTAAGAATGCAGCAGCTCCCACACGCATTCGATTGAACGTACGAAAATTGGTTCAAATATTGTTTGGAAGATGTTTCGTACATTGGAGTGTCAACCGCGAGGAAACGATATTGTTTAACAATGTTTGCGAATGACCAACCAAATATTAACTTCAAACATATTTATTATTTAACTTGCAAAAATTGTTTAAAAAATCGCAAATATTGTTAAATAATGACGTTTCCTTGCGGTTGACACTCCAATACACGAAGCATCTTCAAAATAATATTTGAGCCAATTTTGGTACGTCCAATCGAATGCGTGTGGGAGCTGCTGAATTCTTAAGTAAGCAACAGTTTAAACATTTTTTAAAAATTGTTTAACAATGACGTTCCCTCGCCGTTTACATGCCGATGTATCAAGCATCTTCTAAACAATATTTGAACCAATTTTCGTACTTCCAATCGAATGCGTGTGGGAGCTGCTGAATTCTTAAGTATGCAACAGTTGTAAACATTTTTAATAAATTGTTAACAATGGCGTTCCCTCGCGGTTTACATGCCGATGTACCAAGCATTTTCCAAACAATATTTGAATCAATTTTCGTACGTTCAATCGAATGCGTGTGGGAGCTGCTGAATTCTTAAGTATTCAACAGTTGTGAATATTTTTAAAAAATTATTAACAATGGCTTTCCCTCGCGGCTCACACTGCAATGCACGAAGCATCTTCCAAACAATATTTGAGCCAATTTTCGTACGTTCAATCGAATGCGTGTGTGAGCTACTGCTATTATTTAAGAAATGCTTATAAACATTTATAAATATTGTTTAATAACTTCGTTTGCTTGAAAATCGTTCGAAAAATTTAATGATATAAGAGTTATGTCTTTTCTCAGTTTGAAAGCTGTAATTGCATTATAAAACATTTTTTTTTGAGGGCCAACTCTGTTATTCGCCCCTAGGTCCCGGCGTTTGCCTGCCAACTTTGTCTGCTAGATTCAGCGTCGTCTAAATGATGACAAATGAATATATTTAAGTAGAAAGTTATCGATAAAAAAATTTCATGATAAGTGTATTTATATAATATTATATATTGTTAATATTATATTATTTTCACAAATGAGTGTGTTTATCATATTTTGCGCCTGTGATCATATGTTTATGTTAAAATTAAGACTAAAGGATATAATTTGATAATATAAATATAATACTATGTACAGGATATTCAGTGTAATGGTCCGCATAATTTTTTAGTTATTTCCAGTAATGTAAAGGAAAGTTTATAAGGTAAACATAAGTTTATAAGGTGAAAAAATTTAGAAAAACATTTTCTTATAAAAAAGTCAAAGTTACCTTGAATTTTTTAAATGGCACCATGTTACTTTTTCCATAATAGAGGACTTCAAGAGAAATTTAATACATTATAAAAAACGTCTCTTTTATTCAGATTTAAATAACAGTACTTATAAACTCAATGTAAACACTGAAAGTTATCTAGGAACAACTTTCGCTTTATAAACACATAACATCCATAATTATGAGTGAGCATCAGTATTCTCCTTATTTCTTCCTAAGCCTTTTTCCTAAGTAATCGTATCGTTATTCAATAGAATCTGAATCCGTCATCCAAAGGAGGGT